AGAGAGGAATTTTAAATTATCCATTGAAAAAGGTATCACAAAAGACCTAATGTGTCATGTGCTGAGCAGACAGCTATGTAAATAAAATAAATAAATAAATATTTAAAGGGAGATGAAATATGAACCAATGCATTAACAAAAACCTGGCTGGTCTATCACACAGACAATGACACAGACAAGTATGTAGTTCTACAGTTATTCTTAATTTGTTTAAAAATAGAAATGTGCACTAAACTATTCAGGAATGGAGTGTTTACAAAGAGCCTGGGAATCCAATTCCTGAGTCATGAAGCTCACTGAATCTCATCTTTCCCTTGTAATTTCTAATAAAGATAATTAAAAAGCATCCATGTAGGTAAACTTGAGGATAGGATAGAAACTGAAGTATTATAGTGAATATCAGTGTGAGGTGGGTATAAGAAGCAAAACATTTACAGAGCTGGCACCTTATCTCTTTCTCTTGCTCCCCTCTGGGAGGAGGTTTCAAAGTATTTCTAGCAGGACTATCAGATTCTGTAACAGATTCTGTTCCCTGTGGGATAAAGTCACAAGATGTTTCTCTTGCCATGTACATGTATACATCCGAACCAGAGATGGTATCCAGCAGGTTCTGACCAGGTCTGGAGAACCGGTAGTGGAAATTTTGAGTAGTTTGGAGAACCGGTAAATACCACCGCTGATTGGCCCCGCCCCCATCTATTCTCTACCTCCCGATTTCCAGCTGATTGGGAGAGAATGGGGATTTTGCAGTAACCGTTCCCTGGAGTGGGGTGAGAATGGAGATGTTACAGTACCCTTCCCCTGCCACACCCACTAAGCCATGCCACACCCACCAAGTCACGCCCACAGAACCGGTAGTAAAAAAAAATGAATCCCACCACTGATCCTAACTAGAGAGTGTTGTGTCTCCGTGTCATATATGTGGGTATATGTATAATTTTGTATTTATTTATTTTGTCATATTCATGTAGAGTTAGTGACCCTTTGAGAGATGTAGGCAACAAAATTTCATTTTAATGTATGCCGATTAGTGTACATTCAAAGTCACAATAAAGTTAGTCTATGTCTATTCTATGACTTCTATGTTTATCTATGGAATAGATAAATTGATGGATTTAGAATATCAACAGCACACATTTCTTTGAAATCATTCAATCTCCCTATTATTTTTCCACGCACTTTATGCACCATTTCTAGTGTGTTTGGACTGCTTTCAGCTTTACTTTTTTAGTTTTCTTATGTGTCATGTTTTAATTAACATCTCATGTTCTTGTGTTTCTAATTTACCTGT